CAGAGATTTGCATTTCCCAAACAGAGATGATGGGAAAAGGTATTGTGCAACAGACTCTTTGGGTTGCTGGGTCAGCGCTGGCAGCAGGACAAGAGCTGCTGAGATGATTTTGGCTGGAGGCCAGAGCAGGATCTGCTCTGACAAAGCAGAGATACGATCCAAGCTGTTCAGTTTCAACCTTTCACCACTGCAGTCCCTTCGAAGTCAGGATGCTGCCCACCCCTTTCACTGCACAGCCTTTTCACCTTGCTTCTGGCCACCTCTCCAACCAGCACTTCATTTCCCTTGGAACCCACTCATTCTGCCCAGAGTGCCAGAAGTACAGCTCCAGAGCACAACACTTTTAATTCAAAGTAACAGATGATAAACAGCTAATGTATTCTGTAATATACAAAGCAAACAGAACTCAAATATGAAGGGAACATCATGCATACTTTCACCCACAATATTGGCATAGATGTCTTTAGGACAAATACGAAAGAAAAATATGTTCAAAAACCCAAGAAGCGATTGTTAATTCGCTCATGTTGACACAAAGCCACATCTATTATGTTATTTTGAAGGGATTTTAAGTCAGTAATTAAATAGATTTAAAATTTGCCTTTAAATGCCGGAATGTTTACTACTATTTCTTCTCCCAGCTATGACTTCAATACCTGGGGAGGTAGGGAGCTGTTTTAAGAAACCAACACTTAATTTTTGCAAAAGCGACATAAGGAAGTTGTATTTTTCACATTCCTTCTGGCACTTCAAAGATGTGGAATCTCTCAATAGAGATTTGAGTGCAATTCGTCAGTATAAAAGTGCAAAAAAGTTCATGCAGAGAGACATTTTGAGCAAAGATTCTAATTTCCTCTGCAGAGTCTTTGTCATCTACACACTGTTGCAGCTGCAGTAACACTACATAACCCTAAATGACACTGTTTGTTTTTCTAATATAACAACCCAAATTGCCTCCTCTTGTGACTAATTAAGCCTGCTTATTATTTCCTGTTGGGTGGGGCCTGGCAGTTGTGTTTACGCATTTTTAAAATTTTTGAATTGCTGAAGTTAAAATTTTGAAGTATTTTCAATCATGAGCAGATGCATTACTTGATAAAAACTACAGAATATTTTGGAAATTAAATCCATCACAAGTACTTGAGATTTCACAAGTGTGGTGCTCTAAATCAGAATTTTTGGGTGCATAATTATTTTATGAAATCTAGAACCAAATTTATTACAGCATGTAACAACTAAATCTGAAGAGAAAAAAAAAATCATAGCATAAGAAAATTTTCTTGGCAAAGAGTAACTGGATTACCTAAAAGATATTATATAAACTATGTTTGCAAACAGGATTTTTGTTTTATTCCTTTCCCAAGTATCAAAGTAGTGAACTAATATGTCAAGACGAAATACTAAAATGTCATAAACATACAAACTGTTTTTCCATTATATTGTTGGAATAAAGTTAGAATGTTTTTGTTAAAACACATTCAAAGCAACTTAAACCAAAGGAATAAACAGTATTCAAATATATGGCAAATGTATTCTGGTACACGCATAATGCTAAGTAGATGTACAAATACTGAGGTTCAACACATAAAAATAGCTGTAGTAACTACATTGTATTTCAGCCATATGGCTGCTAATGTTACTTGAACTTCTGAATATGATGTTAAAATGCTGTTACTTTTCCCCAAGATTAAGATCAATCACTGAATGTTCTTTGTAAATAGCTCTAGCTCATATAAAAGCTGTTCAACAAAGTCAAATTTTAACTCAAGAAGCCACACACACCCATTTCATAAGCCTGAAGTGTAATGAATCATTAATATTAGGCTGCAAACCTTTCCTTTGGGCTTTTTTTTTTTTCCTTTTGGCAGGGGTAGAGGGGGCACGGAAAGAAGAGTGTTTCTGAGAAGCCAAAGCAACATGGAACCCCCAGCTGCAGAAGTTCAGCTCACGCAAGGTTTGCTGTATCACCACCTACAGTCACACAGGCTTGGGGCTCCTACCGAAGACACATTCCCGCACTTCACGGACAGAAAATAGCCAGGGCTGTTACCACTGCAGTCACAAAGGTGAACTAAGGGATTCTCAGTGTCCTTTTGGTTCTGAACAGCCATTGAAGTCACAACGGGACAGACTCAATTGCTTAAATAGCACCAGTATGAGAAACCAAACAGGTAGAGCTGAGTCCAGGACCATCACAGTCATAGCCAGTTTTCAAATCTACAGATGCAAAGTGGCTAACTAAGGTTTAACTTTTTGCTTTTTCCAAAGAAATTGTAAAACTCCTGCAGTCTCAGTGTTGTACAGTAACCTATGACACAACAAAACTCACCTGGACTAAACTAATAAGACCAAAAAACCCACCTGGCTTCCTTTGTTTATACTTAGTGTGCTAAAATCTGTCCGTGTTTAGGCAGATAGAAACATGACATCTCGAAGAAAACAAAAAAATAAAGCCAAACCCAAGCAAAAAACCTCCAAACAAACCCAAACCACACAACTCAGACCTATTTTGCTCTTGACCTGTCGACAGTTTGCCTGGAGGACACAATGAAACATGGGGGTATTTCAGTTGAGTATTTTAAATTAAGGGAAAAATAAATGTTTATCTGTCTCTCACTGCTTTTCAAAAGAACACAGAAGTTGAAAGGGGGAAATAATGCTTGGAATAGCAGTAGAAGCTTCCTCCCTGCACATGATCTGTCAGCTCCACCTAAATGCTAAACAAAGGATTTTACCTTGAGACCATAATAACTTGAAACATCTTTTAAGGCCTTACTTTTGAAACTGTCAACACTGCCTCATCAAAATACATGTTTAAATGAAAGCACTGAAGAAGATTCACCAAATTATTTCTATGCTCAAAGTTAGATGCAAACTTAGTGCCTGACTGACCTAAGGGCACAGTTAATGACAACCATAATTATGATCTTATCAACACAGAACTTCATAAAAGGTTCACAGCTTATTTAAAGGACATCAAATTACAACTTCCACTTCTAAAATACCTCTGTCAGAGCTAAAAGTGACCAAAACCAGGAATTGCTCTTTTCATTACCTGCCTGAAACATTCATTATCTCCTCTTTGTTTTATAATAGCTGTGTTATTTTGTCAGAGAAAAAAAGAAAGCCATCAGTATGTTGAAAGAAAGGATTTTTAACTAACTGCAGAGCTTTCATTAGTTGCTTACATAAACAAGTAACAATTTTCTTTATGACTGATACCCTTGTACTTAGAGTTGGCAAACATAGCAGTGAAAGGTGAAAGTATTTCAGCAAGTACAGTTTGGAGCAATCTGTAAAAACACAGCAGAATTAACCAGCATCTCTGAGGACCACAGGTGAATTTTCTCATCACTAGCTATACCAAAAAGCCAACTGTAAGCTAGTAAAAGATATATTTTCTTTCACTGTATCTTTGCAACTTCAAAAATGAAATCTACTTTGCATTACAAACACCTCTGATAGTGAAGATTCACAGGCCTTCAAACTTTAGTTCCCATCTTTCCAGGGTCAGCAATATGCACAATAATATGAATTCCTAACAGAACATATACCTTTGCACGTATTGGTTGCATGCATGCATGAGAAAGTGGCATGGGAAGGTTTTGGAAAAGGAAGCAATGAAAAGGAAACTCAAAAATCTATTAATTAGCAAATTTGTGTCAATGATATTTATTTGTAGGTATCTATTATTGAAGTCACATAATGCCACCTCAAGGAAAAAAGTAAACTAAATTTATTATTGAATTCTTAGAAGTAAAATTTTAATGAAAACTTACATTTATTATTCAAATTAATATTCAAAAGTAAAATACATAATAACAGAGAAGTAACCAGCACTGCTATTTTTCAACAAATGAAGCAGGAAATCTTCAAACGTGCACATAAATGAAACACCAGTGTCTGCTTTCCACCCTCTCTCCTTCTTATTCCTTTTCTCTGTCCCAGCACTTTTATCCAGCAGACTTTTCTGATTTCAAAATAAATACTACAAAACCACTACCGAGGTGTTGCCAGAACAAAGTGAGTACAGATAGGAAATTTATCTGTTACTAAACTGTTTTTTAAAAACACACTACACAATGCAAAGTGATATAAAGCTGCTTGGTTTTATAATCTTAACTCAAAATGTATTCATTTCTTGCATGAGACTAAAACTACATTTTTTGATGACATTTCTTTCTTTATAAAGGGGACAAAGGGTGGAAAGAAAGCTTTTCCCCTTCTGTTTTGTATTTCAAATTAAGTTCCTTAACATATCTTGCACAGATTTCAGCACTGAGATTCCCCGAAATCTCCACACACTGTGGCACATCCTGACAATAGTATTTCAGTGTAACTGTTAGTTACATTCTCCGGCCAGGGAAAATTACGGAACAGAGAATCTGTTTCTGGATGGTTACAGGCTACTTTTTCCTCTTTCATTTTCTCATAAACTGTAGTCATTTCTGTAGATTACAAAACATTGCTGACAAGATGCTATCTTAGAATGACGTCTTGGTTAACGCTTTCCTAGAACGGGCAGCTACTTTCTTTCATGAAAGAACACAAGTGCTTTGACTAAAATACTATTTCAAAAGTTGATACTACACAGTCCACAGCAGCGAGACTCCAGACGTCAATAAAATCGAAGTGCTCTATTTTCAACCCTGTTCTGTGAGCTTGACAGTGCTGGTGGTAGCACCCTGCAGCATGTAAGGCACAAGGCAATACAGCAAAGAATTCATCCACTTTTCTCTGTGAACAGAGTGAAAAGAGGACTTCTGAAGCACAAAACATGTCAAATACAAACAGCATTTTAGAACTATTTTAAAAAATCATGATAATAATAATCTGTATTTCCTTCTAAACGTTATTCTTAAGCAAAGATTTTGAGCATTTTAAGACAGGAAGTTGAAATGCAGCAGATGATCCCTTGCCTCCAAAGTCATATTCCCTAAATGCTCACAGGCACTGAGATTTACTTATTTTGAAAATACGCAGCAGTACACATGATAATAATGGCCCAAGAGCACATACCTCATGTCACAGAAACAATACTCCGATTCACATTCACGTAAAATAAGTCAGTAGCGCTCCTTCACCAAAGCTACCATCAAAGCAGAAAGCACCAAGAGATGAAAAAATAATTGTGATGATAAGAAGTTCGATATTCTTGGGTTTCAAGGTCAAATGTAACTGAGTAATCAGTGCAGCAATAGTCCCCGTCGCGACGAGAACTTTTGGGTTTCACCACTTGCAACTACATTACGTTTAAAAACCTCACTATTTCGTACCTCCTAAATCAGTCTGCGGCACTCTGGGGCAGCACCCAAGACGAGCTCACCCAGAGCTGCCAGTACCAGCCCACGTTCCCCTGGTGCCCACCTGCACTCCTGAGGCCGGCCGGCGGCTGTGCCCCGGCCGCGTCCCAGGTTCAGCACGTCCGTGTGCCACCTTCGAAACCAAAAGCGACAAAAGCAGCGCCTCCTTTGCCTACGAGCACCCGCTACGCGGGCGGCAGAAGCTGGGCTTACAAATTGTTTTCACTTTGCTGTCACGGACACCCCTTCCCTCGCCAGGAAGAGCCCGGTAACCCAGCAGCAGCAGCAAAGCCGGCATCCCGCCGCTGCCCGGGCTGGCTGCAGGCGAGAGCCGCGCAATGCCTCCCGGCGCTCCAGCGGGAGCTCCGCGCCCGTGGCAGGACCGGGCACAGCCCCCCGCGGCAAACCTGCGCTCCGGGGCTGCGGAACCCCGGGGGCCGCCGCGCCGCCCCAGCCCAGCCCAGCGGAATGCCCGCTCCCGCCGCTGCAGCCTGGCGGGCGCCGCGGTGAGGACGCGGAGACGGGAGAAAGAAGGCAGCGAGCGGCGGGCCAGGGGCCGCCCGGGGCTCACCGGAGCAGAGCTGGCGGCGCCTCCTCCTCGTCGTGCTGTGCCGCCGGCGGTCCCTCAGCGCCGCGCCATGTAACCCGGCGTGCCGCCGCCCGGCTCCGCGCGGACTTTCCCCCTCCTTCCCGCCCGCCCCACCGGCGAGGGCACCCGCCCGGCCCCGGCCTGCGCAGCCTCCGCCCCTGCCCCCGGCCCGCCGCACTTCCTGCTGGAAATTCCCGCTGACGCTCCGGCAGCGCGGAGGGCCGCGCGGGCGGGGCGGGGCGGCGGCGGCCGCCGGGGCGGGAGGAGGCTCGGCCGCGGCGGAGAAGGTGCCGGGGGCCGCTTGTCACCGAGCCACCCGCTGGCCACGGAATCCCCGAGCCGGGGACAGGCTCGCCGCCCGGGTGAAACCGCGTAAGCACGCGGGTCCTTTCATCCCAGGGAAGTTACCGCCGCCGCAAGAATCATCCCGTCCTTGCCCACGTTCCTTGGCCCACGGCGGAATTCGCGACATCTCTGTGGATACGGGCCCGACCAAGTGGCTGCCAAAGTTTTTTTGACCTCTAAATATAAAGTTTGGAAGGCGAGAGAGTGACTCTGCATGGAGTAAATTGAACCCCCCTGCCGCAGCGCCTGGCTGCTGGCTGGCTTTCCCAGGCACTTCATGAAAGGAAATGTACCGATTCTTACCGCCCGATGCCTGCCAACATCGCTGGGCAGGGAGTACGGGCTGCACAGCACCATTTTTGTGTAGGCTTACACAGTTTCTGACAGAGCAGGCTCCCAGGTAACTTGGCTTCTGTTGAACAGTGCCAATCATCAATAATAGATTTTTATACCAGAATCCAGGTTTGCAGCATGGTAATTAAGTCTCCCAACACATTTAACCAAGGCTGAAGCAAGGCAGCTAGTGCCACGTTTAATTGGCACAAATGCTATGTAAAACAAGTTCAAATATCTTTATGCTAAATCTTAAAACGTCTGGTTTGTTAAGGGTGATGAGTGTCTCAAATGAGACAGTATAGCTCACCAAATGTGTGTTTGCACAGAAAGTCAGCAGCATGCCTCTGGGGAGTTTTGTTATGCTAAGGCCACACAACATGGGGCTTCACGAATGAGATGAACAAAAATCATAGCTTAAAATAAGAATTTAAAAACCCCAAACATATAAAGGAACCAAGGAATATGACTGTTGCTTTTTTTTTTTTTTTGTGTTGAAGCAAGGAGTTGTAACCTAGAGCAAAAATACATTCAAAAGGAATAGAGGCCAATCATAAGCCACCTGTTGATTGGAACAAAAGGAAAGGGGTATTTTTACCAGAAAGGGAGTAGATTCAGATGTTACATTTCGTGCCACATCTCTGGGTTGGAGCAGAGAGATACTGTTTAAAATGAGTGCTGAGAGTGCAAAAGAGAGCTCGGAGATGCAAAGGATTTTCTCTGCTTTCTTGAAAAATGACATTTTCTACATGTTACACATAAATATGTATGAAGAGAGAGTAATTTCCTTTTTTTTTGGATTGCCACTCATGCTCTGTGATGCAATTCTAACAATTCATTCCCCCATTCTCTTCCCAGTACAAACAGGGAGTTGAGAATGACTCAGCATTTCCAAGTAAAACATGTTTTCCTTATTATATGGGGATATTCAAGACCCAATATTATTTTTTTTTTTTTAGTGGAAGAAAATGCACTGAATTAATTAAGGACATGTGAGGAAAGAATTTTGTCCCAAAGCCCTTGAAGGAGGGAGTCTAGATGGATTTTAAATACAAAGAAGTTTCAAAATAAGATTCATTTGGAAGGAAAGGTGCCATGTCATAGCTAATCAAAGGTGTGCTCACAGGGCAAAACATGTATGAACAAGTACCAGGAAATCAGACAAGGTGGATAAGTTCCAAAACTTAAGGAGACTTACCTGGTGGATTTATTATAAAAGGACATGTATTTAAGTACTCAGGCTCAGCTTTCCCTGTGAAATCTTAAGCAGCTTCCACAAAGATCTAGGTTTTACAATAAAATCCTCTTCTCAATTATATTTAAAGCATAAATTTGCCTTTTTTAGAGCTTAATACCATAGCTGAAATGTTATTTCTACTGACACCCACAGTAGTGCCAGGCTGTAAGCCCACACTTTGGTAAAATTATCTTCACAGAACACTCTAGATAAATGTACTGCTTTATAGCACAGGATTCCCACTTAAAGAGCCAAATAATCCTGTTCCAGGCACTGAGGAAATGGGGCAGATAATACAGGCTCAGTGGTTTGCAGTGATGAAGTGCTGCCTGTTTCCTGAAACACTGGTTTCCACTATTACCATCAAGTTACTTCAGTACCTGGACAGTCTCAGCCCAGAGATGAGGAGCAGGTGATCAGACCTGAACCCAAAGGAGCAAATGCCTGCTGTTGGGCTGAGGGGAGCATTGAGAAATGGTTGCAGCCATGTCTCTGGTGGCTGGGCAGATGCACTGAAGGAAAGGCTTTCTAGCTGTACACTAAACCAGGCTGTTTCACCTCAGTCAGGTGGGGTACATTTAAGTTTCCTGATATGCAGATGCAATTTAGAAGCTGAGCCTCTTCTCTGCTAGGTTTGCTCTGGGACTCCAGATATCCAGATCTCTTTCCAAGGTCAGAAATCTTTGACCTTAGTATTTTTTAATCCTGTAATTAATGATAGATAAACATCTAAGACAAGCAGAGATTTTTAAAATAATCAGTCTTTACTTTAATTGATATGTCTGGATTGGAAAAACTCATGAAAGTTTCTTACTTTATTTGTCTTCTGTTTCTGACACATGTATTGGAATCAGGATAGGCTCTTTTCATTCATTTTGACGTAGTAGGTTTGAGGCTAAAGCAGGAAAAGATAAAGGAAAGTTTAAAATAGCTACTGAGAGACACTTCCTTTTAAAGCTTTCAACTGCCCATCTTCATTGAACTACTATGCCATACTATCCAAATCTATTTCTGGTCAATCCATTATTTCTTTCTCATCCAGATAATCCAGAAGTGCTAACTTAAAAACTGATTTGCCTTACATAGTAGCCAGTGATCATCTTAACACACTCCAGTCTCACAGAAGTTGTCAGTATTTAGCCAATATTTGCTGTGGGCATTGCCATTGTCTCCTGTAGCTTGAATCCACCACTATCACAGGAAGACAATATGTTAAAAAAAAAAAAAGTTGTATTTTTAAGATGGTGTTATCTTTCTGAGAATATATATGAAGACTAATGAAGTTGACAATAGAAACTGTATTTTAAAAAATATTCTAAATAGCCAATGTACATGTGCAAAGCCAACCATTTGAACTGCAGCTATAGCAGAGTGTAGAGTTTAATGGTGCTGCTGAATAACCAGGTTGCAGCATTCATGCAAAGCACTTTCTATCATCTCTGTTCATTCTTGGTGGATGATGAACTGGCCTCAATTCATCACATATTTCATCAGAGAAACACCCTCCAAGGCTCTGAACAGTGTGATGACTCCTGTAATTACACAGGCCACATCCCAAATGTACCTCTTACTTGCTTCCTCCAGAGCCACAAATCAGACTTGGGATCTCATATTAACCCCACTGTGGATCAGGCATGTAACTCTGCTGAAACATTAAATTTCTGGTGTTTTGGGTAAGACTGCCAGAGCTGAAGCAGGAGTTTTCAGTAGTGAATAATTACTGGGGGGCAGGTGCTGGGGAGTTAGTAGACTTAACTAAGAGAACCATGATGCTGTAGATATGGCTGATGGTTATAATTAACAGAGAAAAGGGAACCTTTGGAGAGAGCTAGAAGTAAACAAGAAAGGGAACACTGCTCAACATTTACTTACAGCTGTCATACATGATAAGGTATCACTTCCTAAAGGACATTGAAAGAACCAAGTAGAGATGGCAATTTGATGTATATAATTTTTGGAATGGTTTGTCTATGTAATGCTAGGCCTTCTTTCTTCTTTTCTTTTACAATGGCAGATGATTACACCAAAAGTGGTGGTTTATAGATTCTCCGTGAACTTGCTGCAAGGTAGCTGCTTTCAAATGGAGCTACCCAGACCACTGTGAGAAGTTGTGAGCTGACCAGTTCATCAGAGCATTGAAGCTGCTTCATGCAGAACATACATTCTCTTCCAAAAGTGGGGCCTAGGCTGGTCCTACTTAGCAGCCCAGGTTTAGTGGCCGAGCAGAGTAACACTGTACAACAGTACGTGCATATGTTGACAGAATATGAATGGTTGTGTTTGTAGAAACCATTCAGAGAACCATTAGTGTAGCACTGTAGCAATGTGGAGTTCATGCAGCTTAGAGCCCAAAGCAAACTGCTCCAGCAAGTGCTGTTACAGTCAGGAGCTGTGCTGTCTGGTAATAAATCTAATGAACTGCCAGTCAGTTCTTCAGAATCTGGGCCTAATTCACTCATTGCCACTCAGCTGTGTAACACCTTGGCCAGCCACTGAAGCTAGAGGGATGGGTTTCTGCCACTTGAGTTCAGTGGCAGCAGGTTCTTACCAGTCCACTGCATGCACTCCCTTCTCTTCCAACCTCCCCATGTTATGATTAATATCCTGTGCTCTATTCAGTATTTAATATATGAGATGATTGGGTTCTCTTCGTAGTATTTTGCATATCTGAGTGATACATACTTTTGATTTCTATCTGATTACATCCATCAGAACCTAGTTCAGGGGCCCGGTTGTTTTCCCAAGGGATATATGTTCTTCTCATTACACAACTGTGGCTTTAGTTCTTCAGCAATGTTTCACCCAGTTAGCTAATGCAAACAAAAGCAGCTGTTGTCTTTGTCACTTTCTTTTGTCACTTTCATGAAATACATGCCCAGTTCAATCTATGAGGTCATTTTGGGTCAGGTATACTGAGTAGGACCGATGTTAACACACTATAGAAAGCTGAATTTAGCTAACTTGATTTATATGTAGCTGTTGTTTTATTGCTGCAGCTCAAGGAAAGTTCCAGATAGCTAAGCATTGTACAAATACATAGGGAAGGGATTTCTTCTGCCATAGAAATTTCAACATCTAAATATATATAATGGAAAACAGATTATGAAAACTGAAAGTGACATTCACTACTGTTTGAACTCATGCAGTGATTAATTTAAGTCTTCTACTCAATTGTTGGTAGAACTAAGTTCTGATTTCCCAAGCTGTTTCTGTTTCAAGTTTTAAGCTTGTGATATTCTTCTTGAAAGTCCAGTCCTGGAATATCTGCATATGGTCAGTTTTTTTT